AAAAAAAAAAAATTCATAAAATTTGAAAAGTGTATTAAAAACACAATTATAAGAATGCAAATAGACTAAAAAGAAAAAAACAACCCAAACATTGTTAGCTACTCAAGTTTTTAAGCTAAGAACTTGGATAGCAATTACTGCAACACGATCACGAGAAGCAGGCAAGAGGGGGACAAGAGAATGAAACTCAAAAGCTTCATGGAACCTTATGTGAATTCAACTACTGACCTTTTGCATGTACCCGAAGGACCGATTACAATAAGCAAGGTTAAGAAGATGCAAGAAGATTCAAGAGACCTGTACATTGCATCTTTTCAAAGGCTAGCTAATGTACAAGTTGAAACAAAAACTTTTGAGCCCAAAAATCTTTATAGCATTAGCATATCAAATCAAGAAAATAATGAAGTGACAATAAACCCCCCTCGACATTGGAAAGTGATAAGACTTTTACCTTTGTTCGAGAGGAGGTGTTAGATGAAAGTCCATATCGGCTAACTTAGGGAATGATCATGGGTGCATACTTTGCTTGAGGGGAGGTGTTGGATGAAAGTCCACATCAATCCACATCGGCTAATTTAGGGAATGACCATAGGTTTATAATCAGTAAGTAGCCTAATTGTGGACCTATCTTTTTCATAAAAATACCACTACTTTTTCTATCAAAGTTACAACATCAATATCACAACATAGTTCAATAACATGACATAACTTATATTAAAACATAAACATAGCATAACACACGTCAAACAATCATACAACATGACACATGCAGGGGGTCATAAGCATGCGTTATTCTTATAACAAACAAGTCATGCAACCAAGCCAATCGTAAAACTACTTGCTTGGTTGACCTAAGTTGGAGTAAATCTGTAACACCCAAAAAATGAAGTGAATTAGAACCAACAAGACTAAGTCACCCATGTAAGACTCAAAGGATGGAAAGGAGAGAAATTAAAGGATCTCAAGCAAGTCATTCCAATACCTTAACAAGTAATGTTAAGGAGTTGAGATCTATGGAAAAAGGATTGGAAAGGAAAAGCAAGTGAAAAGGGCAAAAAGATCATTTTTTTAATTCCTTACCTGGAAAGAATTTCAAGATGGTCCAGAAGGAAAAAATGACCAACAAGGATGAAGAATATTTAGAAAAATTATAGAGTTTTCAAAGAAAATAATAATAAAATATTCGAAAAGTGGCAAATTACCAAAATACCCCTGGAAGGAAGAGCATCTACCGTGACCATCTGAGCAAAATCTCTCGAACCTCGAATCTCAGCCGTTGGATCTCCTACAAAATTGGATATGATCTAGAAGACGGACAGATCATCACATCCAATAGCTGGTATTCAAAACCAAAGTCGGTGAGGCTCTAATCGGAGTAGATGTTTTCGACAGATATTCCAGAAAATCCAACCGCCAATTCACGACGATTCTGGAGCATGCCCAATTGAAGGAAATCGATTTCATCCTTAAATTGGGGGTAAGTGACGAATCCCTGTCTATGGTATCTTTTCCTTCAAATTGAGAATTATTTAAGCTTCAGAGGATCACGTTGAGTAACTTTGATGGAGGAGCTGAAACGTCGTAGAAAAAGTTATCCAAGAGATCGAAAATCTGACGATTTGGGTAAGTTGCATACGAAGAACGATTTCTCGAAATTAAGGTCCCACGCTCCAAGACGTTCCTCCAAACCAATTCTTGTAGCTTGAGGAAAGGATATGGAAGAGGTTCCATGAAGAAATTGGGCCTTGAAAACCCCTAAAATCGGCTGCCCAACGATGAATCCCCAATTTTAGCTCTGATGAGTAAAATGATTTTGGACGAACTTTGGAGGGGAATATCATATGCTACGATCAACGAAAAGGTATTAAATCAATCCCAAGATCTTCCTTGTAATATCATCTTTAAGTTTTATGAAGAAATCGAGTGGAGAAACGAAGATATCGGAGCTGTGAAAGGCTACTTTCAGACGGCAGCACAAAAGGATGCGCGCGTCTTCTTCCTGTCCAGAGGAAGAAGGCGATGACTTGGCCGGTTCAACTGAATCGGCCAAGTCAGCCTAAAACCCAACCTTCCCTCCGTTTTTTTTTTTCAATTTTAACCTCCTTCGAGATCCATTCTCATGACTTGCCAGCAGGATGTCATGATTATATGATGATGCCACCTATGCACTCATGGGGAGAAAATTAAGGGTGAAGAGTTTTCATGGCTAAAATATGATACATGACATGACAACCTCTAAGGTTTAGTTCCTGAAAACGAAACAAGGAGACATATCCTAGCTCAAGGTCTAGACATGCTCCAAATTACCAACGATTTTCTATAAGGTCTATTTTATATATGACATGAGGATAAGCTCAAGATTCCAAGTTGGTTTGAGTAAGTTTGGAACCTAAACAAAGATGTTACTTAAGAAACGCCTAAAGGAAACACGTCAAGATTCAAGACCCTTCAAGAACCATCTAAGGAGTCCATTATGAATCTATGACCTTCTAGAATAATTATTACAAAGGGTTCATATGATTATGAATGCATGTTACAACTTACGCCTCAAGAAAATAAGAACCTTGGAAACTTACAAGAATAAGAACCAAGAACAAGTTTTAAAACTACCTAGACAAGAAAAATGCTAGGTACCACTCAAAGCTGAGGGACCAATGTCATCAAGTATAATGTATAATGTATGTTATGATTTAAATTTGGTTTGTTTTATTTTGTGAAAAATTTGCCCGTCATTTTAGAGTCATCAAGTCAACCCCATCTTTACACAATCCCAACTAACATTTCATCTTTTGAAGTTGATATCAATGGTTCAATTATATTTTTTTTTGTGCATATTAAACTTGTTTTTCTAGTTTTTCGGTGTTATATGGTTGGCATTGACTTAGAAAATAGATGAATGATATTTATAAAATTATTGTATTTTGAAGTCAATTCGAGCATAATTTAAACGGGATTATTTTTTAATGGGTAACTTGCTTAATAAAAGAAATTATTATATCGAAATTACTTACCATTTACTTTTATGTTATCAAATACAAAATTTTGAATATAGCTTTTTTAAAAAATTCATCATCTTCCATAGTGTCGATATTCTTGTATAAATGAAATTTTGATAGTTTAGATTAAAAAAAATATTAGTTGTATATAAATCTTATAAAATTGTAAATAACTGAATTACAATAATTTAATTTTTTTTATTTTTTATTAAATTAATAAAAATAATCTAAAACTTCAAACTTTTGAATTTTCAAAATTTTCAATAAGCTCCTTAATCTTTAAAAATAAATAATAATAAAATTATCATTAATTTTGGATGAAAACAGTTAGTTAGTACTTTGATTTGAAAATACATTAAACATTTTCAAAAATATCTTTCAACTTTTAAAATATTTTAAAAAGACTCTTAAATTTGAGTAATACCTTTTAAACATGAATGGACTTTTAACTCTAATGGCTGAGCTAGCTATGTATACTTAACAATCTTGACTAGAGTGTGTGGGGGACTGCCTCGCCGTGCCCTGTACCAATGTTAATTGAATTTATGGACACCACCAACCAACAAGTTCGTGTTCCGAATCTATACGCCATCAGATATCTAATTTGAATTTTAAGTTTTACACGACTATAAATATATATATTTTTTCATTTTCATTTCATTAGGTTAGCGTCATTTAAAATCAAATAAAGGTAGACAAAAGAATAGTAGTTGTGGGTAATTAATGAGGGCTAAAATAGTAATTTTGGTCGGGCTTGGATGAGTTTCAACAAAACACCCACATCCCTTGGGGATAAAAGAGACTTAGAAATTATGGTAAATCTAGGTTTCTTTGTGGGGAAGCAGAGAAATACAAATACAAACTTCCAATTCCACCGTTAATTTTAATTCTCTCAAATAAATTAATCCATAATATACACACACACGTACGTACGTATATATAGGCTACTGTTTGTACAAGGCTACCATTAGTTCGTGGCCGTAAAGCTTGTTTCCTTCTATAAAAAGTACTTCGTTTGGTATGACCAATGCCTAGTTTCTTTGAGATTCAACTGTTCGTAGGCGAGTGATAGAGATAGTGCAACACAACCATTGATGAAAAATTTAGCGAAAAAATAAACAACATTTAGTTATCAATTACGTTTGGATTAAGAGAGGGAGATGGAACCATAACTTCGGTTAGGTCCATCCAACTTGATTTCTATTCTTCAATTGGCATTATTAAATACATAAAGGTTCCAAATCTAAAATGAAATATCATTGTCTCTCACTAGTTTTCAAGCAATATACATAAAAATAGAAAAGAAAGCAAGGGCATCATGAGTACGATCCAATCGAGTTTCTTGATTGCTACAATTTTGATGCTATTATTGTTAGATTTTACCGTCGATGTTCAATCTAGTGCCGATGTTGTTTTTCCTTTGAAAAGATATGGTAACATAGTGCCTGGTACTGACATTACTAAGGTAAATATACAGTACGAACAGCAATATTATCACGAGTTGAGTTGATTAATTGTTTGCTAATTTTTGTTACTTGTGACATGTAGGCTTTAGCAAATGCATGGAAGGATGCATGCACGTCCAATCGTTCTAGTGCGATTGTTATTCCGGGAGGGATATTTAATGTAAAGGAAGGGATATTTAAAGGACCTTGTAATAGCCCAATTGACTTTCAACTTGGAGGAACATTGCAGGCACCAAAAAGTCTTCAGGGAAATAATTGGATTACTTTTGAACGTATTGATAGATTGACATTATCAGGTGAAGGAGTTTTTGATGGCCAAGGAAAGGCAGCTTGGAAAAAGAATGATTGTCATAAACGCATAAATTGTGCCCAACTCCCCATTGTAAGCAATATTCCTTCAGCTTTCCTTCTCAATCTCGGGAATCTTGTTGTTTTTAGGCATCTTCTCTAATCTTCTAACATTTTTAATTTGGTAAAGGTTCTTCATTTTCTAGAGGATTATCTTTAACCATTCTAACAAAACAAAAACAAAAAAAAAAAAGAAAAAAAAAAGAAAAAAGCATGTAAAGGAGTGAAATTCTTTATGAGTTTTCGATTTTATTGGGTTCTGTTAAATTTTTTTGGCTTCCTTACTGATGCTCACAAAATATTATTTGATTATACAAAATGTTTAGAGTTTGAGGTTCAACTTCATCACCAATTCAATCGTGAAGAGAATAACGTCACTTGACAGTAAGAACTTCCATATCAACGTCCTCGGCTGCAACAACCTCACATTCCATAATATCAATATAACTGCACCAGAAAACAGTCCCAACACTGATGGAATACACATCGGTCGATCAAATAGGATTGCAATCACAATGTCCAAAATTGCAACAGGAGATGATTGCATTTCTCTTGGAGATGGAAGCAAACAAATTAACATCACCAACGTGACATGTGGGCCAGGACATGGCATAAGCATCGGAAGTCTTGGAAGATACACTAACGAAGAACCCGTTGAAGGTGTCATCGTAAAGAACTGCACGATAATTAACACCACTAATGGTGTCAGGATCAAAACGTGGCCAGCTTCTGCTGCTAGCGGCACCGCCACCAATATGCAGTTTTTGGACATTATAATGGTCAATGTTAGCAACCCTATTCTAATAGACCAAGAGTATTGTCCGTGGAATCAGTGCAATCGGAAGGTATTGATCGCATTCTCAAAGCTTTGATTGATTTTGTCACTATAACTTTCACAAATAAACCACTTACAGAAATTTGTTGTCTCATTTTGATTTTCAGATTCCTTCGAAAATTAAGATTAGTAAAGTGAGCTTTAAGAACATTAGAGGAAGTTGTGCAACTCCAGTGGCAATCAAACTTATTTGCAGCCGTCACTTACCATGTGACGAAGTAAAAGTCGGTGACATTGACCTCACTTACAATGGAATAAAAGGTTCTATTACATCTCAATGCACGAATGTGAGACCCATCATTTCAGGAAAACAGAACCCTAAAATCTGTTCATCTCCTTATGTTGTCCCATGAATTGTTGATTGCCATAGTACTTCAAACTAACCGATAACCTTAATTAAAAGAAGACAGCTCTATCAATTTTAATTTCTCTGTCTTTTGAGTTTCTTTTGTTTACTTTTCGAAATATATATGATGGTCAAATGTTTGAAGGAAGTCTTGTGTCGTCAACAATGTAACGTTTTTAGTACCTCGACATTATAAAATAAAATGGTTTTGCTCTTGGTTTTTTCGTTTTAGATTTGAATTCATAATAAGACAATATAACGGTAAGGACTATTATTCAAAAAACCAGTTACTTCAACAAAAAAAAAAAAACAAAAAAAAAACAAAACAAACTTACATGCTTGCCAAATAAACCCCACAAGTTTGAGTGGAATTTTGAGTGTCAAAATTTGGTTAACTCAAACATGCATGCTTGCCACATAATCCCAAACATTTGAGTCAAATTTTAAGTGTCAAAATTTGGTGATCTCAAATTTACATGAACATGCAAACATGACTCTTTAAATAGAGTGATCATGATACGTGGAAGGTCTTCTTTATCTTGGTGAAAAACCTTGAGAAAAACCTCTCACAAACACTCTCTTCACATATACAAAATCCCTCCCAAGTTTAGTCACTCACCGGATTCCACAATCCCGTTCTAAGGTCGGAGGATAGTGGAGAAGACACTAGTGGTGGTTCGAAACCGGTTCGTGAGGCAAAAGGAGTTTGAACTACAAGAGGTTAGTATTTAAACTCATTAAGTTTTAATACTTATGAACATGGTAGTTATTTACAATAATTGATGTTCTAAAAGTGCCTAAGATCCAAATTGCTTCTGCATGTGTTATATTAACACCATCAATTGGTATCAGAGCAAGTTTTAGGCACTTTATTTACATTAATTTGATCATGGTGGGTACCATTTCATGAATGAAATTTGTGGTTGCTAAAGTGGATGGTTTTGGTTTTGGCATTTTTTTATGCTTCCATTTGATACAATTATTGTAATAAGCCTAACGTGTATGGGCTTTAATGAATGAAGAAAGGTCTGTAATTTTTATGGAGTCATTAGAGTCCATTTTAGGTTGTAATTGATCGAAAATGGAAGAGATAGCAAGCTGAACCGAAGAAGATGGAAGAAGCGGTTCGGGTGTTTTTTCTGTCGTTGGGGACCGATTCAACGTTTTTAAGGGTTGGTTCGCCGAGTTCGTGATCCTCGGGAGCGGCTCAAGTTATTTTTAATTATTAATGTAATAATTTAGTTAATTGCTTGCTTTAAAATGCCAAAACCAACCCACTTTAGTGTATTTAATTAATTATGCATTATGAATGTATGTTTTAATTAAATAGAAAATGTATATGCATAAAGTATGTCATATAGATTTAAAATCCCACCATAGGCTAAGCATGCTTCATGCATTCCAAGTATGTTATAAGTGTTATAATGTATAGTATGCATGTCTTAGGGTTCCATGAGTGATAGATATAAATTGTTATATTATTGCATGGAATGGATGATTATATAAATTGTTATATAAAGCATGTTAGATGCATGTTATAGGTTATTTTCAACGTCATAAAATGAGGTAGACGTTAAAATCTATAATAAAGATAAGTGCATGCTCTCTAAGGGTTAAGAACCGAGCACGATCAATTTTAACAGTTAAAATAGGTCGATGTCTTATAAAATTGCGGTTACGAGAAAGCTCACCTGGCACGATCTTGTCTAAGACTGAAGGTACTTAAGTTGACGGTTTACGGAACACCTACTACCTGGAGATCGGACCAGTACTTGAGCTTAGTTAGCCCAGTTTTATGAGCATGCTTAAGTGATTTAAGATTTAGAAAAATCACCTAGACTTAAGTTATATTTAATTAGCCGGAATATACTTAAGTAATGAGTATACCCAACCATCTAAAATACTTAGTGGGAGGAAAAAGGTGTATAAGATACATCGTTTTCTCTTCACGCTCTCTGTAAAATTCACACAGTGAGATTCATGCTCGGCCTCGTGTCACCCTGGGAGAGTCCTCCATTCGGAAGGTATTTGCATGAGTCAATAACAAGGTGAATTGAGAAAGTATTTATAGTAAGTGGGAGAAAGAAGTTAACACGTCCTATGGTCTCCACCACTAGGTTGCACCGTGAGATTCCCATGTTCCGCCTGCATGTTGCCCTAGAGCAACTACCCATTCGGAGGGTCGTAACATGGGAGTCGGAACAACGCAAACTCCAGAAATGGATAGGATTTCTTAGGTCCATTCCCAACTTTAGCTTTTTCATTCGATAGCGTTGTTGGGACCGATCTCTGAGGTCTGAAATTGGTGGGTCACACTTGCGAAGACTTACTAAGAGTTAGTATATTCTTGACCAAAATAGCGATAACTAAAACACTATAGGAACAAGAGTTATTCTGGAATTAATGTTTAAGTCAAGAATGTCTTGGTTTAGTGAATGAGTGATTGACTGCCCCTCGGTAGCAGTTGCTCTAACTCACTAAAGTATCGTTGCAAATTAATAATGATTTAGGTACATTATTACATTTGCTAAAACTGATTGGATTAAACAGGATTAAGTCAAATCACTAATAGAATTTTCTTTATATCACAGCATGACGAACTCAATAGTACAATTACTCACTTCTGAGAAATTAAACGGCGACAACTACACAACTTGGAAATCAAACCTAAACACAATACTGGTCATTGATGATTTAAAGTTTGTTTTAACTAAGGAGTGTCCTCCAAACCCCAACTCAAATGCAAACCGAACAGTTCGGGATGCATATGACAGATGGATAAAGGCAAATGACAAAGCCCGAGTGTACATTCTAGCCAGCATATCTGATGTTTTGGCTAAGAAACACGATGTTATGGGTACTGCTAAAGAGATTATGGAATCTCTAAAAGGGATGTTTGGACAACCGTCCTTCTCCCTTAGACATGAAGCCATAAAATACATTTACAACTGTCGTATGAAAGAATGGACCTCAGTTAGAGAACATGTCCTAGACATGATGGTCCATTTCAATGTGGCAGAAGAAAATGAAGCGGTCATTGATGAGAAGAGTCAAGTCAGTTTTATCATGATGTCTCTTCCGAAGAGCTTCTTTTAGTTCTGCACCAATGTGGTAATGAACAAAATAGAATATAACTTGACTGCTCTTCTCAATGAGCTACAGACTTATCAGTCCCTCTTAACGAACAAGGGACAAATAGGAGAAGCAAATGTTGCTATCTCCAAGAAATTACTACGAGGATCGTCCTCCAAAAATAACTTTGGACCTTCAACTTCTAAAAGTGTTTTGATGAAGAAGAAGAAAAAAGGGAAAAATAAGATTCCTACTAACCGCAAGAACAAGGTTCAAAAAGCAGATAAAGGAAAATGTTTCCATTGCAACGAAAACGGGCACTGGAAGAGAAACTGCCCAAAATACCTTGCAGAGAAGAAAGCCGAAAAGAGACAAGGTAAATATGATTTACTCGTTGTAGAAATATGTTTAGTAGAGTATGACAACTCAACTTGAATACTAGATTCAGGGGCGACTAATCATATTTGTTCTTTTTACCAGGAAACTAGCTCTTGGAGAATGCTTGCGGACGGCGAGATAACACTCAGGGTTGGAACAGGAGAGGTTGTCTCAGCAAGATCAGTAGGAAATTTAAAGTTGTTTTTTGGAGATAGATTCATTATATTAGATAATGTACTTTTTGTTCCTGGAATGAAAAGAAATCTAATATCCATCTCTTGTTTATTAGAATAGTTGTATAAAGTATCTTTTGAAATCAATGAAGTGTTCATTTGCAAAAGAGGTATTCATATTTGTTCTGCAAAACTAGAAAACAACTTATATATGTTAAAACCGAGCAAAACAAAAGCTATTTTAAATACTGAGATGTTTAAAACAGGTGAAACTCAAAATAAACGACAAAAGATTTCTCCTAATACCTATCTTTGACACGTAAGACTAGGCCACATTAATCTCAATAGGATTGAGAGATTGGTTAAAAGAGGACTTCTAAATAAGTTAGAAGACAATTCTTTACCTCCATGTGAGTCTTGTCTTGAGGGTAAAATGACTAAACGATCATTTTCCGAAAAAGGTTATAGAGCCAAAGAAACCTTAGAACTCGTGCATACAGATCTCTGTGGTCCAATGAATGTCAAAGCACGAGGAGGGTATGAATATTTCATCAGTTTGATTGATGATTATTCAAGGTATGGCTATCTTTACCTAATGCATCACAAGTCCGAAGCTCTTGAAAAATTCAGAGAGTATAAGACTGAGGTTGAGAATCTATTAGGTAAAACTATTAAAACACTTCGATCAGATCGAGGAGGAGAGTACATGGACGGACTTAAGATTTCAGGACTATATGATAGAACATGGAATAAGGTCTCAACTCTCAGCCCCTGGTATGCCTCAACAAAATGGTGTGTATTAGAAAGGAGAAATAGAACTCTATTAGACATGGTTCGGTCTATGATGAGTTTCGCCTAATTACCCGATCCGTTTTGGGGATATGCAGTGGAGACTGCTACATACATTTTGAACATGGTTCCTCCTAAGAGTGTTTCAGAAACACCTTATGAGTTATGGAAAGGGCGTAAAGGTAGTTTACGTCACTTCAGAATTTAGGGATGTCCAGCACATGTGTTTTTGCTAAATCCCTAGAAACTAGAACGTCGTTCAAAACTATGTCTATTCGTAGGATACCCCAAAGAGACGAAAGGTGGTTTGTTTTATGATCTTCAAGAAAATAGAGTGTTTGTATCAACGAACCTACATTCTTAGAGGAAGACCACGTAAGAAATCATCAACCTCATAGCAAACTAGTATTAAGTGAGATTTCTAAAGAAGCTACTGATAAAACAACAAGAGTTGTTGATCAAGCTGGTCCTTCAACCAGAGTTGTTGACGGAGCTGACACTTCTGGTCAATCACATCCTTTTCAAAAGTTGAGAATGCCTCGACGTAGTGGGAGGGTTATAACTCAACCCGATCGTTACTTGGGTTTGGAAGAAACTCAAGTCATCATACCTGATGATGGCGTTGAGGATCCATTGACCTATAAAC